GAGTTTCCGTCGACCTCATGTTCTAACTGAACCCAAATTGGACTGTTTTCGAGGAATACACTCATCTGCAAATCAATTTGGTTTTCACGGAGACTCAATTGAATCTCTCGTTTATGATGTCCTCCAGCTGGATGTGCTGCACACAGGCCGCCTCATGTTTCACTTGGCGCGATATTCAAGATAGTATAGTATATCTTCATAAACGAAACTACTCATAGATCACGTCTATTTTACGTCTCCAATCTAATGGATCCAACTGAGTGACCTTCGGAATTGAACCGACGAAGCTCTGGTGTCCAGGACAAAACGTTGTCCGGCTACGAACCCATCGATTATTTACCGACCTTTCTTGAAACAATGGTTCCTTGCTCGGTAACAAGCTCTTTCCGTTTAGTTCAACCGAACAAACTTCGAGGAACCAGAAGACCATCACTTCGAATGGATGGGCGGCTCAATATGTATAAGTCAGTTTACTTGAAGCTGAAGGATCGGGGACGCCAGTGACCACTGCTATGTAGCCATGATATCTTTCACTCCGAGACAATTTCAATCTCTTGCCCCGAAAGATTACCGCTGAGAATAAGAACTAATACATACAAAACTTAACTTAAGTGAAACGGCAATCAAAGTAAACGCCATAAATTGCAAAATACACGCAGGTGAAAACTAGTTCAGCTTTAATGGGAGAATCGGTTGGGTTCTAGACGAACCTCCAGTTTACGATATTCTTTCCCTGAAAGCACAGTATGAAGGCAGTCTCATGTTTCGGTTGGCAGAATATTGGAGATATCAGAGTATTTTTCTTGACATAAGATACTACTCACAACCCTATTATAGACTCTCCTAGAGGATGCTGCCGGCTTCGTCCCGTTGGAGCTCATCACGTCGTCTTCACATCGGACGTCCCATCAACTTTGTGTTCTGCTTAAACAGTAGTCTGGTTATCAATAAACATCAACGTAATTTACGAATGATTGTAGCCCGTCAATGGCCTAAAGTTTGGAGTTCACGGAAACTACAAGTTGCCGAAAAATCAGGGGCTGTTCCCAAATCCACAACAGAAGTGAAACCGTGGACGGAAAGTACAGACCGTTTATTTTAATGTCACAGAAATACAAGTTTCAGTTTGTTTTATGAGGAATGACTGTCCACTTGGAATTCAAAGAAAAATGAATGGGTACTTGTTACGAAAAAAGCATTACTTCGACTACACAGAAGCTGACGTACTATGATGAACAGTCACTTCCGGAGGCACGGTAAGAAAGTCTGCCAAGTTCAGCCCATCTGTATCCGGCAAAAATGTGATTATAACTACCGCGACTGCCAGGGCTCCGGCGTACACCAACAGTGGTGTTCCGTGTGTTGCGTAGCGTTCAAGGTCATTCACATAGGGACACAGCATGCTTCCGAACCGAGCCAGACCAAATACCACCCCGAACGCTCCAGTGCGTATAGATGACGGATACAACTCGGGCACATACACGTAGATCATACAGATACCGACTGTGACAAATACGAGGGCGAAATTCGCGCAAGTTGTCAAGACCAGATCCTCGATATGTGTGATGATAACCTTGTCCAAAGCACTCAATGCCAAGAAAGCAGCTGAGATGGACAATACAACCATTAGGGGCCGCTTGCGCCGTTGGAAAATTCTATAGACAACAAGGGCACACAGAGTAGACGGTATGCCAGTCAGGGAACTGATGAACCCCAGCAGGTAGATAGATCCCACCAGGCTGTTTGTGTAAAGCATTATTCCGAAAAAACACATTGTGATACAGAAGACAACGAAAGTAACTAGGATGGTGGTCACGATCATATCTTTATGAGGGCGGAATATATTCCGCTTGTTTGGCTGAACACCGAGTTTCGAAAGTTCCTTTGCCTTCCGAAATTCCTTCTCCCAAATCTTCGCCTTTGCTGACAACTGTTCTAGATAGATTACTCGGGCGGCACGGTTCTTACGATGATTGAATACACAAGCTGCGTGGAGTTGCCTCACTGCCATTTGATACTCTCCTTGAGCGATGAGCCACCTGGGAGATTCCGGCAGCAAGAATATGTAGAATAATCCGAAAAAGCTGGTTGCCATCAACATTAGGTTCAACCACCTCCAGTTTGGTAGCAAATACGCGTAGAGAGCCATCAAAGCACGGAATATGAAATCCAGACCTAAAGCCAATATGGCCCCAAGCAAAGATCGGTATTTGGCGGTTGTGATTTCCATTGCGAGCACATTGCCGACGCACATTTTCACTGTGTTTCCAATGGCAACAAGTGCCCGTAGGACAACGTACGCGGGGAAGTTGGGTGACAATGAGACTCCGATACTCGCCCCGAATTCCAAACAGGAAAAGAGCCAAAGCGCTTTCCGGCGACCGAAATAATCTCCAAACCAGCCACCGACAAAAAATCCCACTAACATACCGAACATATAGACGGATGTGCCGATCGGAACCAACCAGGAACGCTCGCACACCGTCTCGAATTCCTTCACCACACTCCCCGGATAGTATAAGGTACTTTCTTCATACACATATCCGAAAGGACAAAGTTCCGTGTAATTCCTCTGTAGTTCGCCACCGAAAAACACCTCGGTCAGATTGACATTTTCCCAGTCAAGGCAGAAACGTTTGCATCCATTGCCGGACCGCGACGCCTTATTCCCTCCAGCTTCACCGCTGTTGACCGGGCCCAAGTGTGAGACAACCAGGTTGAAGGGAAGTGAATTGTTCTCAATGAATTTCTCCACTCTGGGTTCCATTGCGCATCGATGCGGTGGAGATGAGTTTGCGAACACAGGGAATGTCGGTGGTGTTGGAGTTGTGAGCATCAAATACAACACGACAAACCATTGCCACAAACCTATTGGGCTCACAACCTCCTCCAGAACTTGGTCCACATTGAAATGTTGTCTGTCATCTGACTCTGCTAAATTTTGTTCACTTGATGTCATCACTAATGAAGTTGTTTCAGACGGTAATTTGGGAAAGTAACTGGCTATGTCTGCATGGATTATGTTTGCAAATGCGAATTCTCTGGCCTTTTGTCTCTTATGTGTCTGCGTGTTTGTCTTCAGTAAGGACATACTGAAATTAGACGATCCAATCAGAAAAATCCGTGTCCATCAAATGACCGTCATCACTGCGCCGATTGTTTTCTCCTAACCAGTATGTTGTGTGCGGTCGAGGATCACGAGGGACCGATTAGATTTTCTAGGTAGAATGAGTTTGTCGAATTAATGGTTCCGATAAGCCGCTGCACGATAATTCTCGTTTGTTCTGTGTTTTTATGCCTTGACAGGTGTGACACAGGCTGCCGAACAGACCAGCTGATAAGACAGTTGAACATTTTGTCGTCCACATCGGGTCGAGTTTTCACGATCATAATGCTAAACTTTGTAACGAAATAACTCATTCTGATATTTTGGAAAATTCGTCAGGTGGACGCATCGGCAAACGGACACACTTATATATACATATATATTTGTATTATATGTATAT